AACTTTACCCAACAACTTCAATTGATTGTTGTAAGTGTTTTGACTGTACTTGCCTACTTTGCATAAAGTCAGCTACTTTTGAGAGCCTGATTTCCATTTACAGTAGTTTCTTGGCCCTCTCCACAATACAAGATTTTAAAGAATTTTCACTTGTTTTAAGTGATTTTTTTTGTATTGTGCACACCTGACATTTTTTCACTTTCCTATGGTTTCATGAGAAAATCAAGATCTTCAGTGAAACAGAATCACAGAATCATAGAATGGTTATGGCTGGAAAGGACCTTAAAATCATCTAGTTCCAAACCCCCTGTCATGGGCAGAGATGCCTCATCCTAGACCATATTGCCCAAGGCTCTGTTCAGCAACATGATTGGTAAAGTTAATAAGCAGAGATTAAAATCAAGTAATTGAGTTTATTTTGAGGCTGTCCAGTTTTACCACAAAAACAGGCAATAAGTGGGCTATACCATCTCTAGGCTTGATCATAGGCTGGGAAACTTCTTAACATTTCGGATCAGCTCAGGCTAATTACTAAAACAGCTTGACATTTCAGAAACCCTGAAGTGAGATGGTGGACACAGTGCAGCTACTGGAGATGTGAGTTCATACCACAAAAGCAGACCACACCACTTTTAGCAAGAGGGTCTATGCAGCAAATCTCACCTTTTCTCAGATCGGCAGATGTTGTCATTCTGTTGGGAAGCTGACAGTGTATCATGTATTAATCAGTGGCAACAAGAACGTTGTTCTCCAGGGATTCCAGTCGAGCATCTTTCATTATTGCAGAGTCTTTAAAAATGCTCTTCCCCATATGGCTGCCTGTTTGTAAAATGATTGTAAAATGACTTTTTTGGTTTTGGAGTTTTGTTTTTTTGTAGTTGACATCTCTTATTACACTTCGTTTTTCTTTGTGAATTTGGTGCTCATGAAACATGACACATGTAATGGTTGGTTAAAGCTAGGCACAATAGAAAAAAAAAAAGGTGGACATACTTCAGAGATAATTTTTCTAACATATTTCCATTCTGCCCTACCATTTTTTTTCTATATTCAGTGACATATGATGGTGCACTGTAATGTACATTTCAATGTAATGATGCATTGTAAGTACACCATTAGGAAAATATGTTTTCATTTTGGAGAGAAAAGTTTAAGGAATGCTTTGTGAAACATGGTAACCAATATGAAGGATTCCAGTCCATTAGGGCCCTGAGAACAAAAGCTGAGTCTGCCATCCTCTAAAGATGTCAGAGACTATGTAGTGTCAGACAGTGATGAACAAATACCTACTCACAACAGCTCAGATTTGAGATATCATAACACAATCAAATTTTCCTGTTTCAAGCCCAGGTGATTCATATAGTCTCAGTTAACCAAGGTGTAATGACATTGATCTCCCTATTTTTTCTGTAGCATTAATTTTTGCTGTTAAGACCAGATATTACCATACCAAAGCTTGACACTTCTAATGGGCATTGGTCCTAAAGCAGTAGGAAAATGACTAAGATGTTACGAGTTCTTGACTTGCTGCTCTCACAAAGGAGCAGCTGGGCACAACCTGCAGTAAAGTGACATTTCAGAAGATCTAAGAAGACTTAGGCTTGCTATAAGAAAAAAAAAGTCAATTTTGAGTTTTTTTTGTTTATTGGTCAGCATCCAAAGAGTTAACATACAGTTATCTAGGGCCACATCTAGAAGAAAAAGTGTATAGAGTACATGCAATGTGTAGAGGAAATCAAAACAGAATGAAGCAAATAATAAAACTGTAACCAGTCATGTTTATTTGCTTTTCTTGTTTTAAGGTGTTAATCTGGTGCTGCTGAGAACATTCCCAGAATATTTCCCAGATGGAGACACAAATGCATCAGTATTTCCTGCCTCTACACACTATGTTTCTATTTGTTCTCCTTTGAGAAGCTCTTTCTGAACAGTCTTTCCAAGTGCCAGGATGTGTCGGTTTTAAGTTTATTGTAGTGCTCAGTAGTTCAGCACCAGCCATCAGCATTTTCAGTAGTCTCTTCTGTTTGTTGCGGACCCTGTTCAAAGTCCAGGCCTCTGGAAGGATCCCCAGGAAGACTACAGCTGGGCCTGCTTAGATATCAAAGTCCAAATTAAAAATTTAAGCCAGTGTTTGAAAAATATCTGACCAAAACCTTGATGTAGATTAAATCTCTCTTGCCATGCAAGGAGCAATGCAAAATTCTTTTTTATCCAACTGGCTCTTGAAGATTTATTTTTAAAGTGAAGAAAGGACCAAATAGCTGCATAAGCTGATTCAGGTCAGATGTTTCTTAGCTAAATTATCATTGGTAATGAAACCGTTTAGACTTTACAGGGAGTTCACAGAGAGACTGAAAGAGCTCTGGCTTTTTTCTTGCTCTCTTGCTCTTCCCTTCCCTCCCTCCCCCCCGTCCTCCCTTCCTTCCCTCCTTTCCTTCCTTCCTTCCTTCCCTCCCTCCCTTCCCTCTTTTTTCTTTCCTTTCCTTCCTTTCCTTCCCTTCCCTTCCCCTCCCATCCCTCCTTCCCTTCCCTCCCATCCCTCCTTCCCTTCCCTCCCTTCCCTCCCTTCCCTCCTTTCCCTTCCTTCCCTCCCTCCCTTCCCTCCCTTCCTTCCTTTTTCCTCCTTTCCTTTCCTTTCCTTTCCTTTCCTTTCCTTTCCTTTCCTTTCCTTTCCTTTCCTTTCCTTTCCTTTCCTTTCCTTTCCTTTCCTTTCCTTTCCTTTCCTTTCCTTTCCTTTCCTTTCCTTTCCTTTCCTTTCCTTTCCTTTCCTTTCCTTTCCTTTCCTTTCCTTTCCTTTCCTTTCCTTTCCTTTCCTTTCCTTTCCTTTCCTTTCCTTTCCTTTCCTTTCCTTTCCTTTCCTTTCCTTTCCTTTCCTTTCCTTTCCTTTCCTTTCCTTTCCTTTCCTTTCCTTTCCTTTCCTTTCCTTTCCTTTCCTCTTCCCTTTCCTCTTCCCTTTCCTCTTCCCTTTCCTCTTCCCTTTCCTCTTCCCTTTCCTCTTCCCTTCCCTTCCCTTCCCTTCCCTTCCCTTCCCTTCCCTTCCCTTCCCTTCCCTTCCCTTCCCTTCCCTTCCCTTCCCTTCCCTTCCCTTCCCTTCCCTTCCCTTCCCTTCCCTTCCCTTCCCTTCCCTTCCCTTCCCTCCCCTTCCCACCCTTCCCTCCTCCCACCCTTCCCTTCCTTTCCTCCCTTCACTTTCTTCCCTTGAATTGCCACTATTGCATACACAGACACTCATTCCCACTGGGGGAAGAAAACTCCAGTACCTGCCAGCACTACAATTCAAACTGGGACATCAACAACACAGCAGTAACAATATGTTGTCGGAATAATTCCTTGGGTCCTGTACCTCTCAGCTGAACTGAAAGCAGACAAGAGCTTGCTCAGCCACCCTTTTGTAATGACTCCTCTGTGAAAGGCTATAGGATGAGGCTGAGCTAACAGGGAGCTTAGAGCCACTTAGATAACTGCTGACTGTTTTTTTGCTAAAAGACCATAGGTTAAGAGGAAACACTACACTCGCATGCCTATCAAACCTCACTCTGATTCTTTCCTTCAGGAACCAGAGTCCTGAATTAGCCAGTGTCATGGTTTAAACGCAGCTGGCAATTCAGCCATGCAGTTTCTCACTCGCTCTCCCTCCCTCCTCCCCACACCACCACCACCACCCCTCCCCCCCTCCAACTCCCGGAAGGACGGACAGGAGAATCAAAAGAATGTAACTCCCAAGGGTTGCGATAAGAACAGTTTAGTAACTAAGGTATAATACAAACCACTGTTGCTACCATCAATAATAATAATGATAAGGGAAATAACAAGGGAAGAGAATACAACCGCTCACCACCTGCCAACCAATACCCAGCTCGACCCAAGCAGTGATCTTGCCCTTCCAGGTAACTGCCCCCAGTTTATATAGTGGGCATGACGTGCTGTGGTATGTAATACCTGTTTGGCTAGTTTGGGTCAGGTGTCCTGTCTCTGCTTCCTCCTGGCTTCCCCTCCTCCCTGGCAGAGCATGAGACTCACAAAGTCCTTGGTCAGAGTAAACATGACTTAGCAACAACTAGAAACATCGGTGTTATCAGCGCTGTTCCCAGGCTGAAAGTCAAAACCACAGCACTGCACCAGCTACTAAGAAGGAGAAAAATGACTGATACTGCTGAACTCAGGACAGCCAACTATTTTACAGGGGTGTGGCTAAAGAATATATTATCTAAGTTACCCCAGTAAGATCCACATGGCAATAGCAGTTCAGCAGAACTAGTGTGCTTTGCTGCTTTTCTTTAGAAGAAATCCCTAAAGTTTGTGGAGAGCAGCCATCCTTTACCTCAAAAGCTTTTAAGTTGGCAGAATTCCTAGATGTAGACCTACTCCATAAGAGGTCTTTTCTTTGCTTGAATGACTTTGTTTTGAATGTACCTCCCACTAACTTCACTTGCTACTCCCTCCTTCTTACCATGAAGAGAACAATTGATCATTATCCACCTCCTCTGTATCACTGTGATTTTGCAGATAAGAGAAGGGATTCACCCCTGTCTGGGAGTATTTGCTGGCCATGTGTGGGGCTCAGACTAGACGAGAAGATACATCTGTCCTGCGGCTATGTTTAGAAACGGCTAGCACAGCATCCAGCCTTAGAAACCTGTGTCCTCTTTGCCAAGCCCATGGAGACTTTGCCATTCCCCTGAGCAGACCGGGTCTACTGCTGAGTGCACATAAACAAGCAAGAGGGAACTGCCACATTACTGGGGGTCTGCTGGGCTTTCTGGCCGCCAGCAAGAGGGCCTTGGGGATTTCACCCAGGGCAGTGAAAATAACGAAGAGAGGAGGAAGTGACACCAGAAGTGTATGACAAGGAGCAGCAGTAAGTCCCTGTTGAAGGCCCTTCAACAGGAGTGTCATTCACACAGGTGCAGTGGTATCTCAAACCTGAGTCCTTGGCAGGGCAGGTCAGACAGCAGGAGCGTTCCCCCTGCTCCCTCCTGTGACCATCCACCACTGCCAGCCGTCCCTGCACTGCCTCCAGGCACTTTTACAAATGACACCTGGAGGACATGAGCAAAGGAGAACATCCACATGGCACAGCCATGCATGTGGTCTGATCTCACCTAGCATACCTCAACACCGCTGGCAGGAGAACCCCAACATGCTCTGGAGGTTGATTCACCTGCAGAAGTTGAGAAGCGCAACATAAGGGGTGGGTCTGTGGTCTGGTAAGAAACACGAGGTTTTCTGCCAGCATTGTGTCTTCTGGGGAGGTTTTCCAATTACTATTTTTATTTTTTACATAAGGCAGGATGTGCTGTGTCTCTCCCCTTCCAGCCCATGCTCTCTAGCTAGTACATGGGCAGAGACCCAGCACCCAGGGTGACGGCCTAAACCTGTGTGGCAGAAAGGTTTCACACACAGCCCTCTGTTTTGTTTATGCTGCCTCTGCAGAGAGAGGAGGACGCTGCTGCAGGGAGCTTGTTTCTTGAGTGCCCCTGAGGGCCAGGACCAGAACAAAGGCAGTGTTTGCGTTCCCTGTCTTTCCCCAAGAAATCTGCAGCAGGCCGACGCCCCAGCAGCCCCCTGGGCGCTGGATCTGGGTGGATTTGGAAGGTTTCCGTCTGGCCCACGCAGACCAGGGTGGTCTGCCCTCCATGTCCCTCTGCGCCAGGCCTGTCCCCCATAAATGAGATCCAGGGGGTGGGAAGCTGTCTGTCTGCTCCTCGTGGGCTGAATTGAGAATGGCCCAATAAACAAAGGGTGGGGGCTTTCCTTGTGAGCTGCAACTGCACTTTGGCTTACTTGAGCCAGCTCCCAGTGAGAAGGGATGAGCAGCTTTTAAATGTTTTTTTCTTGCTTTTTTGGTCTCCCAGTAGGGCAGGCAGTCTCTGGAGAGCTGTTAAGTGTGGGCCTGCTTTCAGGGCTTTCTCGTAGCTAGCAGCCTCCCTCTGTGAAGCCAATACAGCTCGGTTGCACTTGACAACGTGAAGAGGTTTCTTCACGTGACAATAATAAAGTATTTTTGTACTTTATAGCATGTCTCCCCTCTGGACTCCAAACCCTTGTGGAAGGGCTTTATTCCTATCGTTTCTCTCCCTTCTCCTCCCCACCTTTCCACACAGCAGTTGTGGGGGGCCAATGCTTGGTGCAAGTCCTACTCCTTAAGTAAGTTTTTAGTTTCTATAGGAAGAGACAGCAGTTTAAGGATTCAAGTCTACTAAGACTGTTGCAAGAAGATTTTATATTGGTATACAAGAAGCAAGGCAGGAAGACACAAAGATGTTAAAGACGGGAGGTAAGAAATAATGGCTATTTGGTGCAGCCATGTTCATCTTGTGTTTGGTTGTACAGGGAGTGGTTATCCATTTTGCCTGGAGGAACATTTGTGAAACACTGTTCTGAGGAATAATCCAGTCTCCCACTCCACCATAGTTGAATGGTAAAAAATATGTAAAGTTTTTTTTTGGGGGGGGGGGGGGGGGGTTTATTGGTTGGTTGGTTGCTTGCTTTGTTCTTTTCTTTCGTATGGGGGTTAGAGGTAGTTTTGCTGCAGCAGAGGGAAGTCTGGTCCAGAGAAGCCTGCAGGCATCAATAAGAGGTACAGATCTCATGAATGACCTGTAGCCACTGCTTCCTTAGGATTGCTGCTGAGATCCCTGGGCCAGGGGTTCAGTGTAAGTTTCACAGGAGTCTTGCTTAGCGGGATGATGATGGTGTGATCACTGTGAACAAGGCCAGTATGGCTTTCTGTGTATGCCTGCAAATCGAGTGGTGGATCCCTACATTGAAGAGATCAGAATAACTGCTGCAGCCATGCAGTGCAGGTGGGGTAAAAACATGGGTTTTGTATACATCCACAGCAGAACTCAGCACTCTTGATGAATCCAGAGGTGAGTGAACACAGCTGCCTGCCTTCTCTGACTTTTCTGTACATTTACACAGTCTTCTTCATTGTTCCTTCTTGCCCAGACCTACTATTTCATTTTCTTCAGGACTGTCTCTCAGTTCTTGAGGGAGGTAGGACTCGACTCAGGAAAGGCCTTGGGAAGGGGAGTAAGGCAATCCTTACTTATATTCCTCAGCTTCTTGTCTTTACAACACTGTACAACAGCGCATGTTCACCCACCTTTCTCAGGTTTCCCAGCTTTTTGGGGAAGTAGTGGAAATACTGTTTCTAAGCCACAGGTGCACTGCAGAGGGATTTATCTTTTCTTGTAAGAAAGGATGCATGCTAATTCTGTGAATATAGTGCCTCTCTGAATAACTTGTTCTGAGATGCAGAAAACAAATGAAAGATTTGTGTTGTGTTTGGTTTTTTTTTTTTTTTTTTAAAAAGAGCCTGCATAAGATAGTAGGCCATGGGATTGCCCTAGGCAGCCCACTGGAGATCTCAGGACAGTGGAACACTGAAGGGAAAGGATAATCCTGGCAAATGCAGTGGTAGAATCAGGAACTGGAGCCTTTTCTTTTACTCACAGCTGGCTGCTCTCAAGTAGCTATAGCCTCTCTCCATAGGCAACCTTCTCTGACATGGTAGACAGGAGGTGCTTGAGCAGTCATCCCTCCCCAGGTCTGCCTAAACTGGGTTTACCTGAAGGACTTGGATGGAAGTATTTGGCAGTTCATTGTTGATCTGGCTGCTAGTCACTTCCTGGGAAAACTAGAGGAGCTTTGGAGATAAAAGGGGCCAATACCTTCATAACTGCTCACAGGAAGCAAGAACTGTGTACCAGAGCTCGATGTACATGACTACCTTTTGCAGCTGTCCTACATCAGGTGATTGTGTCTGCTACTGCTGATGTAGAGAATCTGAAAACATATGTAACTTGAGGTTCAGCAAGCTGATAGCCTTGGCAGATACATGCTCATTCTCACCTGTGAATCTTATTTCACCTCTCAAGTATGATTGTAGTGGTACAGCACAGGACAGATTCTGATCTCATGTACACCCTTGCCATGCAGAGTAACTCCAAAGATGCCAAATTTTGGGCCTAAAAGATTTAAAAATATATTTTGTCCAGCTGTGGCCTGGAGTTTCATTGAAGTTGAGAATGAGTTGCATCCAAACTGTGCATAATCAACCAGAATAACTGAACAATTGTGAACCAAAGCACTGCCACAATATTTCCTTTCCTCCCTTCCCCCTCCCTTTCCCTTTCCCTTTCCCTTTCCCTTTCCCTTTCCCTTTCCCTTTCCCTTTCCCTTTCCCTTCCCCTTTCCCTTCCCCTTCCCCTTTCCCTTCCCCTTTCCCCTTTCCCCTTCCCCTTTCCCTTCCCCTTTCCCTTCCCCTTCCCCTTCCCCTTCCCTCTCCCCCTTCCCTTTCCCTTCCCCTTTCCCTTCCCCTTCCCCTTTCCCTTCCCCTTCCCCTTCCTTTCCCCTTTCCCCATTCCTTTTCCCTTTCCCCTTTTCTTCCCCTTTGTCTGCCACAATATCTACAGTTACCTTTTGCCAGTTCTGACAGGGATGGTCTTTTCAATATTTACTTGTAACTCCTCTGATAAGTAGATGTAAAACTACACAGGGACATTATCAGAGGTGCTAAGTCAGACAGTATCCGAGCCTCCCTCTTCCAATGTAAGGGAAATTTTCTGTTGATGTAGCATACACAAAGATGCTTAATACCTATATTAGGCCTTATTTTAGGTCCTTATGGTGTTAACTGTTCCTGCTTAGACTCAATTGTACCTTAGAAGAGCGGGCCAAGGTGGCTTAAGATACTGATATATTACACATTACACATCTATTGATACCTCATACAATCTTCTGATATGGCCCCTTCAGTCTTGACTGAGATTGAAGATCTACACAAGAGTTTTTTTGTGTGTGGAGATAGAAGCTGCAACACTGAAGTAAGTTGAAGAAATGACTGGAAAAGAGCAAATGGGGAATGAGAGGAATGGGACAAAGATGGAGGAAAGTTTGAAAGCAAGATGAAAAGCAGGAATAAGAAGAGTCCACAGGGTCAGACAGAATCTGATAAACTTTGACAAAAGCCTCAACATACTTGGAGGTATTTTCTAAACCTTCTAACCTTGCAACATTTTCCCATCAATAGTCCAGAGGTGAAGTGATTTATGAATATGCAAGCTTACACAGTTCTCTGTGAACGTCTTGATAAAGTAAATATATCACCCAGCAGGAGGCTACACTGCATACCAGTCTTCTTCCTCAGAGAGAAATTCGGTGTTGTGGGCCCCAGCTATCCCTTTCTGGCATACGCAGGGCGTGCAGTTTAGTTCTTCATTAAAAAATGTCCCATTGAGATGTTTAAACACAGATCTCCCTGTAAGGGTGAATACATTGAATTGCCCTCCATCCAATTCTTCTCCATTTAATTGGTATAAAGCAGCTTCCCCTTGGCTACTTCCTTCCTTGAAATTACATAAGTAGCCTCACTGGAAAAGCATAGGCAAATATTTTACACTGTGCACCATGGATTAGGAGCACAGCTCCCATTAACCAGAGCTGGTATCATGTGTCTTATTTTCCTCTCACACTGTGCTAGAAACATACCCTACTGGACACAGAGACTAGGCTCCCAAGTGCCACCTTATGAAGAAGGTGTGGAACACTTTCATTTAATACTGCGTGTGTTTCCATTAGCAGAGTCAATTGCTCTCTGTCCTCTGTTTTAAGACTCCCTGTTTCTTTCTATTACAGCTCTGTTTCCGCCTGCCAATCCTCCTTAGTCCTTCCATCTCAGCCTGCAAAGTTTTGATGATATAGCACCACAGCATCTTGGCTTTCATTTGGATTAAACTTTGTGTTTGTAATTACAGATGTGCTGAATACTGAGCACTTTGTTTTGTCACGAGCTTACTGCTGCTTAGGAAAACTTATGTGCCCAATGTATTGTCAGTGTGGGGTGGCAAATTAGGGGTGCCAGTAGAGCAGAGGCCTGATTATCGTGAAATCTGCAAAGCACATGAGGGAAAAAACATGTGGTTGCTACTTTGAGTCAAAGCACTATAGCAACTGTCCACACTGGCATGGCTCCTATAGAGTGGAAAATTTATGTATCTGAGTAAATAGTAAGCAGAAACCAGAATATGTTCATCACATGTAAAAATAGAGCTGTGGTTAATATACTGTATGCTGTGGTCTGATCTGCTCTGGGAATTGGTGTCTCTGCTAATTGCATGGGTATGATGTATCTCTTGCCAGATACTGGCTTTTTTCATTTACAAGTGTGTTGCTTGATGCCATCACACTTTGGTTTTACCATACAGCTAACTCTTCCTGCCTAGGGAATGAAAACAGCCTGTTCCAAGTAGACTGTGCAAGTTGGGTTATGTTCTGGCAGCTAGTAACAAACTTGAATTTCCACTTATGGAAAAATCTGAAAGTTTTTAAAAGTTCTAATTCAAATCTTTAACTTCCAGAAAAGTAAAATTTCATTTTAATGTAGCATCTTTAAAACAAAAAATATGCATAGCAGTGTTGTACTCCAAACATAAAATTCCCCAATTACTTAAATATGCTAACTAACTGCTTTGCTTTAAATTTCAGCTTAGTTAGAACTTGTAGATTATTCATACTATTTGTATGAATATATGAAGTGAAACAAAATTAATCAAAATAACTGAAAACATCAGGAAAATATTTTTACTTGACCAGCATAATGTATGCCAACTTATCAAACAGGAGCAGTAAGTAAAATGGTTACTTCTGCCTTTTTTTTGTTCTCAGAATTTTACTGAATTAAACCTGTTCTTCAAAAATGTTTTGATTTTTAATTTAACCACATTCCTTAAAAGAAGTTTCTATTATTTTCAGCAGCTTGATACAGAACACAGCTGCTATGAAATTCTATATATGACCCACCTTCAACATGAAAATCTTTGCTACCTCCTTGCTGATCCTGTCTTTTGTTTTGAGTTCTGTGCTAATAAGTAATGAAAATGTTACAGCCTTACAGCTTGTTTTGTGGTTGCAATTATGTAATCATTATTAATGAAGCAACAATGTCAAAACTGTGTGAAACCAAACTCACATTTAAGCACTTACAATAAACAGATATAAAACAACAGATGTCTCAGTTTTTGTTCTCCAATGATTTCATCCCTTGTTAAAAATAAACGTCTGGTTTAAAAAAGAAAAGGGCTTTTCTCAACTCGCGCAAATTAATTGAATCCAGAGCCTGGTGATATAACTAAGGAGTTTTCTTTTCTTCTTTCCAAAATTTGTTTGTGGGGATACTTTTCTTCTGGATGCAATAAATTCACTTCAAAGCAATTCAGAAATTCTAGGAAGTCAATAGTGTAATGGTCATCTGCCCCAGCTGAAGTGTTGGCCCCTGATAGCAATCAGAGATGTAGCCAAAAGTGCATGGCTTGCCTACAGCCTTGAACACCCTGAAAAGATTTTAGGACAAGGGTGATTTCTGTCCACAGTTTTGATTCAGATAACTGATACTGGTCATTTACAAATGTTGGTTCAGATTTGGGTCAGAATTTGTCAATAGGTGCAGGGAGGTCTCTAGATCTGGGGAACCTCAGAAAGCCAGCTTTCGGTTTTATGCAAACATCAAAAGTCCAGATGCCTATTTAAACTATCCACATCTGTTGAGTCTGCAAAACTGGGCTGGAAATTTAGCTGGAATAGGCTTTCCTGCAAGATTTCATAGACTTCATAGTTGAACTTGTAGCCAGAAATACCAGAGCTTCTTTTAGTATTTGAGTGCTTTTTATTCCAGTGCTAAGTAGGAATGTGTAGGTTACATTTAATGAATGGGTGGGGTACGCAAAAATTTTAACACTTTGAAAATGTTCAGATCTAATGAACCAG